ATATACAATAAAGACCTTATTAAGCTTTTTCCATTATAGAATATATCACATAATTAGAATATAAATTGACAAATGTGAGCAATATTTCAACATTTAGCCAGAAATCATAACTCCATTATTAATTTCTTTAGGGTAATTTTAAAATATGTATTCATAAAAAAGATGGTGATATGCAAACACTATTATATAATCATTCATGTAATACTGCACATCCAATATTGCTTACTCACATTTATTTGCATATGTGAAAGAACTGTGACAATTTAGATGAAGTTACCTTTGCAGGACTCTTGGCGATTTTTATTTTAGTTTTGTACATTTATGAATAGCCCAGATGGGACAATATTATTTTTTTTTAAGATTTTATTTATTTATTTGACAGAGAGAGAGAGAGAGATCACAAGTAGGCAGAGAGAGGAGGAAGCAGGCTCCCTGCTGAGCAGAGAGCCCGATGCGGGCCTCGATCCCAGGACCCTGAGATCATGACCTGAGCCGAAGGCAGAGGCCCCAACCCACTGAGCCACCCAGGCGCCCGGGACAATATTATTTTTATTTTTTTTTTTAAAGATTTTATTTATTTATTTGACAGAGAGAGATCACATGCAGGCAGAGAGAGAGGAGGAAGCAGGCCCCCTGCTGAGCAGAGAGCCCGATGCGGGGCTCGATCCCAGGACTTTGAGATCATGACCTGAGCCGAAGGCAGCGGCTTAACCCACTGAGCCACCCAGGCACCCCGACAATATTATTTTTATCATCAGAAAAATGATAATTATTTTCAGAATTAATTTCTAAGTAAATACAAAATTAAAGATGTTTTCCAAAGAGAAAATGAGTAAGCCACACAGTTTGTACTGGAATTTCTTTATAGTTTTCACGAGAGGGTGAGGCATGGAAGCTCCAGAGTATGATCAAGTCCACACACTTAAACAACTTTTAACTACAGAATACCCTTTTGCCACTTCTGTATCTTCTCATTTTAAAAAATGTGCAACAAAAAGAAATGTATTTCTGAAATAACAGTGATAAATTATAAAAGACCTATTTATATGACTATTCTCTATAAAACATCTTCAGAAGTTAGATTTGGTAAAGAGAATTTAAGGAAACGTCAGATTTGTTGTAATAATGTAAATTAAGTAGTTTAAAAAAAGAACAAAACTCAACAACATAAGAATACATCCAAAAACATGACATAAACTTATGACACTAGAATTTAAGTTTACCAGGGAACTTGGTATGTTGTTGATAATAAAGACATAGGCAACTTTATGGATAGAGTTATTTGGCCAATGTCTTAGTCCCTTTGATTCTTAACTACCTCACTTATAAAATAGAACAATATATGCTCTTCAGAATTGTTGACTGGGATTTAATAGATGATATCTATAACATACCTGGAACAATAAATACTAGCTCACTTTTTGCTCTCTTTGCATTTTTTTATGACAACGGTTATATTCAGGCATCAAATAGACAATACAGATGGGGGAAAGTGTTAAATTTTATTGCTTTTGCACAATGAAGCATACTATGCATGTTACTTTTTAAGATACAGCAAGCATTGGTGGTATCTTAGATAGATTTCCAGGAAATACATGCAGATAACTGTGGGTGCGTGGTGAATGAGGGATCTATACCTGTGAGGCATGAAGAAAGCAGGCCTGGGCCAGGGGTGAGGTGAGGCTCTGATAGCACTGCCACAGTAGCATCTGCAAATCTGAAGCTGGAATGGCCTCTTAGAGTTGTCTACCCAATTTTTGAAGCAAAGAGCTGGGATTTTTGCAGCCTGCCCCCAACAAGGGAACAAGTTCAGGAAATATAGCTTCCTTTGGCTGAGGGCAGGCTTCAACTCAGCAGGAGGGACACTGGAAACTCAGGACAGCATTAACCCAAGATTGGAGCACACACATTCCATATAATGACTTCTACAAAAAGTGCCGGACGGAGTCTATTAATTAGTTAGTACACATAGTACATTTTTTCACTGTGATCTTCAGATGATCATTTTCTCTAATAAGTGAGATGACATGAGAAATGCCTTATTTTGCTCAGAAATACAGAAACCAAATTTTAGATGTGGTGATTGTCTGTCTTGTTCACTCCTGTTCTTTGCAGTGTGTGTTAGGATATGCTTTAAGGCATGTAATTATACAAAACTCTTCATTAAAGACAGAAATGATAGTATGTTTTCCTCCATTCAGAAATCCCAAATTAATAATAATAATAATAATTAGTTCCAGATCTATTATTTATTTTATTTGCATCCTTAAAAATAAATCAATTAGGTACAAGGTTGGATGAATTCAGGTAAACATATCTATTGGCATATTGCTTTCTTGACACTACTACATTTAATTATTCACCATTTGAAATCTAGATTGAAGATTTTCTTAAATGGAAGCAGGTTATAGCAGTCCATTTCACAAGTGTGCACATTCAAGAAGAATAAAATAATTTCCATATCTTTCTATAAATAAATATGATAACGTTCTCAATGAAGAATTTATAGTATCCTTTATTCTTAGGAATTCCATTTTTACCTTGGTTTCTCTGTGATAAAGGAGATAAGATATAAGATATAGATATATAGAGATATAGATATGTATATATGTATCTATAGATATATACATATCTATATCTATATAGATATGTATAGATAGATATATACATATCTATAGATATATATACATCCAAGCCTTATATATCTATATATAATATACTATATTACATGTAATAAATACTATACTATAATAAATATAGTATATTATAATATAGTATAGTATATTATAGTATAGTATAAATACTATAATAAATATAGTATACTATATTACATGTAATATAGTATATTATATATATAGATATATAAGCCTTTCTTACTCCGAACAGGTCTAAAAAAGCACACTTTTAGAGTGGGGAGATTAAGGGATATGTATAAGAAATAATATGCTTCTATATAAATGTAAGGTACTAACTCAGTTGTGAGGTTGATTGTCCATGGTTAGATCCCCTTGCAGATACAGGTCATCCCTCCTATGAAGTGTCATCCCAGGTCAAACTAATATGACCCAAACCAGGTGTTCTTATTAATTTGTGGCTGTTTTTAATGACTTTTACAAGAAAAAGCCTTGGGGAAAAAATATGAATAGAAAATGTAGCAATAAATTTTGTTAAGCACCATATTGATCAATGCATTGTTGGAAATATGATAGCATTTTTTTAGGTTCCATGAAAATGATTTCTCTCTTTGAGTAAAGAAAGGCACCCTTTCTGCAGAATATTCATTCTGAGGAGGCAGTAGACTTCAGAAGAACAGGTATATAAATGAATAAGATCTGAGTTTGATTGCTAGTTTGACCATTTAATAGTTGTGTGACCTTCATCACACTATTTAATCGATGTTATCCTCAATTTCCACATTTATAAGAAGAAGATAATGGCAACATCTCTGTGGTTGTAAGGGAAAATTAAATAAGAAAATGCATATAAAGACTTTACCACAATGCTAGCCCATTATAAATGCACTGATGAAATGATTTTAAAAAAATCAATTTGAGGGAACTCATTCCTATTACTAGCATTTGAAAACCTTTGACCGTTCTAAATTTTGTCTGGTACTGGCTCTGATTTGAGTTTCTAAGCCAGGCTTGACTTTTGTCCTGGTTTCTTTCTATGATATAATTTATAATTCCTCCAAAAGAGGTTTGTCAGTATAAACATAGGTGAAGGAAAACACCAAAGCTGGCACCATTACCTCTAACAATACAGACTTAAAGAAAAACAACTTGAAATTGAATCATACTGTGCTTAAGAAGTTTTTACCTAAATGTCAAACATAAGATTAAGAAATTCAGAATAGAGGCTGTGAAATATATTTTTTTAAACATGACCTAAGCAAAAACATTTTGTCTTACTAGTTCATCTTAAGCCCATAGAATTTAGTAATTATCAATTATTTTCCGATGACTGTTTTTGTTTTTTTTACATGCCTTTGACAAATAATATCCAAGATTAACTATTTGCCATACAACAGAAAGAGAAATATGGAGTCCTTTTTATTAGAATATTTTAGTTTATCCATACTAAAAACCACAAAGCAAGGTAGAAATAGCTTCCATCTTAAAAAATGTACTGTTTTTCTTCTCATTATTTGGTAGCCTTGAAGCAAACTACAAAATTTACATTTAAAAATCTCCCTGATGGCAAGCCATGAGAACAGATCAAAATTCAGTCTCGTTTTTAAATACCATTACAATTCTGACAAAATATATTTTATTTATCAAATGTAAAGCACCCAACCAGAAGACACTATTGTAACATTTTGTTTGCTATTGATTTAGCTTTCCAAAGGAATCCATTCCTCCTCTCTCTCACCTCTCCAGGCTTTTTCTAATGAAGTTGCCTTTGTTCCCAGTGTGCATCTTTGTGTTATTTTGTAGATCTGTTTACTCCAAAACTCAATCCACACTTTCAAAAATATTCCAAAATGATTAAACAAACCATGAATTTTCACTAACAATTTAAACAATCTGTAAGTATTCACAGATCATACTTTATGTTAAAACCTCTAGTTTGTAAGATATGCATTTTTCTCAATTTAACTGCAATCTCACTAACCTACTGAAGCCCTTCACATGCAAAAACAACTCTAAATATTGTTTTATATACAATTTAAAAGGATGTCTATTTCCAAAAAACTACATTAAAGGTGAACATCAAGGAACTCTAACATCAACTTTTTCAAATTATAGCAAATATCTTGGAGGGTTGTGATCACAATCGTAACACAATTAAATATATACAACAAACAAAATTTCCCCTTTTCATCCAAAATGCTGTGGGAGATTATTTAATTTAATCTACTGGGCTGATAAAGCTTTTTACTTGACGTGCTGTCCTGATTTTAAAAATAGATTAGTCTATTCCTTTATATTTACATCTGCAGGTAAACAAACAGCTTAAGTTGATGATGTAAAATTGAGTATATTTTCTGAAAAACTTACCATTGTCATTTTTCAGCATCCCATTGCTCAGTTGTTTTAATCTCTTTTGATGTGATTTGCCATTGTAGTGGATTTGCGCTTGAGCTGCCGAATTCAGCTGAATGTTACAAACATTGCACAAAGTGAAATTGGTATGTTTCTTTTCTCTTTCCGGTTTTTCTTCAAAGTCATCAGGTAAAAATTCAGCCTCACTTTCTCCATCATGTGCACAAGTGAAATCTAGGGGTGCAAAGGAATTTATGAACAGGTTGATCGAGACTCCTAGATTCTTTCCTAGTATTGAAGTGGGCAGCAAATAAGCACTGCTCTAGATAATAAGAATTCAAAAATTTCCACTTCCTCCCTTTTTAGTACATCGCTTTCATACCATCTAAAAGTAGATAGATTCTTTAATGGCATACCAATGAGAAATATTCACTTTGGTTTTTCTATGTCAAATAGTGGGTTAAAGTCCTGACAAGGTCTAGCATGCATTATTTCTCTCAATCATTTGACAACAAAAGAGGCACTATAGATTTTCCTGTCTCATAGGTGAAGAAACTAAGGTTTAGGGTAGTTAAGTAACTTGGCAAGGGTCACACAGCAAATAAATGGTACAGTGGAATAAGCAGTTTTATTAATCTCCAAACCCCAAATTCTTCATCATCTTGTTTTCTAGCATGTATTAATGTACTAGATATTTCCCTTTTGATTCAACTAAGTAACTTTCTTTTATTTTTCTATTCCTTGCCCATTAAATAAAGGCACTTACATCTGGATGGATATATCCTATAAATACAAAAATGCTGAAACTTTTTCAATACCTAAAATTTTGTATTTTATACCTGGAACACAAAAGAGATTCTGAATACCTAAGATACCTTCGTAATTAGGGTACAAAAAGTATAACTTAACTATAGGTCACAATAAAATATATTATTTTGGGATAAATAAATGCTTTGTATACTCAAATCCAAGAGAAAAGGGCCACTGACAATTCCAGTACCTCTGGCTTTGAGATAGTAATAACTACTGCAATATATATATTTTACTATTCATTTAGTAATTACTTAAAACAATGTCTCCTTTCTAGAGTTTTTCTGTGTTTTCACTGCATGGGACTCTGTACAACTCTTACGGTCCAAATTTGATTTCTCTATTCCAATTTTCCAGATTTCTCAAGGATTTATTTTATTGTCATTGAAAATATTGGCAGAGGAAAGCAACAATCATTTTAACATGCATTTATTAATTGCCTACTGTATGGCAGGCAATATCATAGGTGCTGGAGATAAACTGATAAGCAAAATGAGAATGGTTCCTAACATTATTCAGCTTACTGATAATGATAAGAAGTTCATTAGAAGATGGGCTTTGGCATCATATGAATGAGATAACAAATAGCAAAATAATTTTAACAATCAAAATTTACCTACAAAATCAAGGCAAACACCTAGTACTTAAATCCGTTAAAGAATAGTGAAGTATCAGGTGCCTGGGTGGCTCAGTGGGTTGAGCCGCTGCCTTCGGCTCGGGTCATGATCTCAGGGTCCTGGAATCGAGTCCCGCATCGGGCTCTCTGCTCAGCGGGGAGCCTGTTTCCCTCTCTCTGCCTGCCTTTCTGCCTACTTGTGATCTCTCTCTCTGTCAAATAAATAAATAAAATCTTAAAAAAAAATGAATATTGAAGTATCTATGAGATACCACCTCACACCTGTCAGAATGGCTAAAATTAACAAGTCAGGAAATGATAGATGCTGGTGAGGATGTGGAGAAAGGGGAACCCTCCTACACTGTTGGTGGGAATGCAAGCTGGTGCAACCACGCTGGAAACAGCATGGAGGCTCCTCAAAAAGTTGAAAATAGAGCTACCTTATGACCCAGCAATTGCACTTCTTGGTATTTACCCTAAAGATACATAGTGATCCGAAGGGGCACGTGCACCCGAATGTTTATAGCAGCAATGTCCACAATAGCCAAACTATGGGGAGAACCTAGATGTCCATCAACAGATGAATGGATAAAGAAGATGTGGCATATATACACAACAGAATACTATGCAGCCATCAAAGAAATGAAATCTTGCCATTTGCAATGACGTGGATAGAATTAGAGGTTATCATGCTTAGCAAAATAAGTCAATCAGAGAAAGACAACTATCATATGATCTCCCTGATATGAGGAAGTGGAGATGCAACATGGGGGGTTTTGGGGGTAGGAAGGGAGGAAGACAAACCATAAGAGACTCTTAATCTCACAAAACAAACTGAGGGTTGCTGGGGGGCAGGGGGTCGGGAGAGGGGGTGGGGTTATGGACATTGGGGAGGGTATGTGCTATGGTGAGTGCTGTGAAGTGTGTAAACCTGGTGATTCACAGACCTGTACCCCTGGGGCTAATAATACATTATATGTTTATAAAAAATTTTTAAAAATTAAAAAAAAAGAATATTGAAGTATCTAATTTCCAAACAGAGTAAGTATATAATCCATGCTTTGGGGGCGACCAATTTATTTAAAATATGTTAACCTCTTTTTAAGAAGGAAACTTCATCTTTCTTACTCAGGTAGCCCCTATTACAACCTATACATATAATTTAAGTGATCATATTGAAAAGAAAATAGATTTTGTGAAATGATTATAAAATTTTTGTTTAAAGTAAAATATATACTAAACAGATTCGTTTCTCTTATTTTATCTAAAAAAAGCAATTTAAATATCTGCTCCAGGTTGTATTCAGAATGTTTCAAACTTTCCTTTTCTAGAGCTGATTTATATTTCTAAACTCTTTCATCTCAAATATTATTTAGTGAAAAAGATTAAGTAAATGATGGTGCATTTAATCACTGTGATATTGTATAGCCAATAAAACAGATTAGAAAAAATTATAACATAAGAAATTCTTTCTGTATAATTAAACAAAAACAAATGTAAATTTACAAGTGTTTACAACTATATAAAACACAAATAAGACTTAGAAAAAACGATAGTAGTTGATCTTGAATGGTGAGATTACAGTTGGCTTTTTTTCTACATCTTTTCCTCATTTTCAAAACTTTACATGATAAACACTTACTACATTTATTATTTTAAAAGTCAATATATTTGCAGGGCACCTGGGTGGCTCAGTGGGTTAAATCCTCTGCCTTCAGCTCATTTCATGATTCCAGGACCCTGGGATCTGGCCCTCTCTGCTCAGCAGGGAGCTTGCTTCCTCCACTCTTTCTCCCTGCCTACTTGTGATCTCTGTCTGTCAAATAAATAAATAAAATCTTTTTTTTTTAAATCAATATATTTGAAAGAAATAAGTAAAGAAAGAGAACCTATATCCTACTGAATGAATGGTAGGTTTGTCAGAACTAAGCCAAACTACACAGATAGTCCCAGTACATGAGCTGTTGTGACATATCATTTTTAATAAATACATGTCTATGTTTGGAAGGAAACATTTTCTTCCTTGATTCACATATCCACTTTGACCTATAAAATAAGAATGTCTGCCAACAATTTAGTAGGAGAAAATACTGGAAAAGAAATTTTCTACCAAGTCTATGAAATGTATTTGCTTATGCATGAGGGGTTCCCTGATCACTAAAGAAAGTGAAGACTAGGTCCCCAAAGTCAGCAATTAATTTTACACCAGGAGCAGGGAGAGGCAAGGATAACAACTCTTAAAGGAACTAAAAAGTAAGGTACATTAACCATGTGGCTATGAACATAAGAAAAAAAGGAAATATTGAATAAATTCTTGTGACTGGGGTGTGACATTGCAAAACATTTATAGAATTTGCAAGAAAACAGCCATGTTTCAAATGGCACTCTCCAAAGTAGGAGGTAATATGCAAAACTAATTTTTTACTCCTAATATCGTAAAACAATCATTTAACTTCTGGAAGGGAAATTTTGTTCATCTGAGTTTCACTGAGAAAAAAATTCAGTGGTCCTACATAGGTTTTAGGTAACCAGCATGGAACCCAAACTATCTTATCTATTCATTTTTTTCCCATCTAACCTCTATCCCTCAGAACCACTGAAGACACTAAGAAAGTCTATAGCTTTACAAAATAATGTGGATCTAGGCTGTATCATGTAATAGGTTTAAGGATTAGCATTATTCTAGGGATGATTACTGTAAGAATTAGGTATTTGTGTGTGTGTGTGTGTGTGTGTGTGTGTGTTTAAATTTTGTAGACAAAAGTTTAAATTAATCCTATGATCATAGAAATAAAAGGGGGGTACATAAGAGAACTCATCTTTAGTAAGCTATAGTAAACCATGTTTCTGAGCATAATTTGAGAAAAATAAAAGTGAAAATAATGTTTTTCCTGGGAAGCAACAGGGTTCTTAAAGTTGATTTATAGTACATTGCTCTGACCCACTTGGGAAGCTTCTGAAGTAGAAGCTGAAATGTTACTTGAACCAAAGCACCAGCTTTTGGTGTTAAGGCTGCCCTGGAAATTGCTGATCGTTTCCTCCTCACACCACCCCCAGGGTAACAGGCCATAACCCTGGTGGACCTTAAGTTTGGTGCAACCCAACTTATTAATAATCAAAAGTTGGGGAGTAGACAGAGAAGCCAATTAAAAGAGCTCCCAATGACCAAAGCTGGAACAACCAACTAAATGTCATATTATTGGATTATAGTCCAAAGTATAGAAAGCTTTTTACTTTAAATATAAAATATCAATGAATACATACTGATATTTTTTAAAATGGGGAAGAGGATGCAAACCCCCATAAAGAAGTGATCCAAATAGTTTAAATAGATAACCCTTCTTCAAGAAGGATGGAACATAACTCCCTCTATCCCTTAAGAGCAGACTACACATAGTGACATATTTCTAAATAACAAAGAATGGAAAGAGGAAAAAAGTAACTCTATAGTGGAGAAACTTGACAAACACTACCTCATCTATGTAATCAAGGCTAACAGCAGTGATAAGTCATGTTGACAGCATGTATCCTTGATATGACATATTAAGAATGGTTTTTCACCTCTACATGTCTTTCTCACAAAAACACATAACCCAAGTCACAGCATGAGGAAAAACATCAGACAAAAAAATGAAGGACATGCTACAAAATACCTGTTACTCCTGAAAACTCTCAAGGTCATCAGAAACAAAGTTTGAGAAATTATCACAGCCCAGAGGAGCCAAAGGAAATATTAAAAGTAAATGAAGTTGAAAAAAAGAGCTACCCTATAACCCAGCAATTGCATTACGGGGTATTTACCCTAAAA